AACTTAGTTTTTATTTTGTTCCTTGTACAGAATTTGCTCCATTTGATATTATGGGGAACTGAAATATGTTACAGCATCTTTATACACTGGTGTATTAGTAGTAAAACATGAGATGCTGCATTTTAATTTAATGCAATATTTTAAAACTGGATATTCACATACCTTTTTCTCTACTTCTAAACTGAACAAAAAGAATAATGTTTCATACTTTACAAGGTCATACTGACTTGGAGGAAAACTGGTCTAGGTCTAGATAATCAACTTATGTTCTGATGGAACCCATTTGTAATGTTAAAACTCTTCATTATTATGAAACATATTGCAGAAACATGTGCTTATTAATTCATTTGTGATTTTTCAAGTGTCCACTGGGTAGGAACACATTCTGTATTAGTTATTTAGATTAACAGAATCCTTCTTTTCCAGAGTTTTATAGCCCAGCGCATTTTTAAATCAATAGCACTCCAAAAAACTTGAACTATGTCCACAGTTAAATTCACATTATCATGATCATTAGTTTTCTAAATTTCAGTGCATGATTCTTACATATGTCATTTTAGGTTCTGGATATGACTATGACATGCATGGCAAGTCTTGGGTCAGTGATACAAAGTCCACTATGTTTATTTATCAGTCAGTTGGTAAATTGCGTTTGAGTTCCCAGTATATATAAAGAACTGGGGGTGCTAAATTTGTTGTATATGTCAACATAAAAGATCTGGCACTACTTTTAATCAATTTCTGAATTCTTGTGGGATTATTCCTTTTCTTTTTGAGGTATCAAATTTTCATTTGCATAAATGTAATGGAACTTAATAGTCCTAACGGATAAAAACACACAGAAATTTATAGTGGCATTGTGCTTTATTTATAGAAATGAACTAAACCCTCTATTAAGATAACACGTTTTCTCCAGATAACTATGGAGTGATTTTATAAATACTTAATCAGCGTATGTAGTTACATTCAAGAACATAAGGATGTGTTGTATCAGAGAAAGTACACATAAAGATAATGCATGTTAGTTTAGAATTTCTGTGATACAACCAGAAATATATTTTCACCAACTTGGTGAAATTCACGTTTTTAACATATTTTATCAAATCTATATTCTGTCAAATCTATAACACATATTCTATCAAATCTA